GGTAGGCTACTGTAAGTATGTAGTTGCTTCAAAAATCACATCTGGCACACAAGGGAAAGGAGTTTTTCTTTACCGTGTTTTCTCCACATTTTGTAATGGTACAAACATGGACTGCTGTAGCTGTAGTGATCGTAGCCCGTGTGTTGAGTGATACAAAGATACAGCGAGGCGATCCTACAAGTGTTCCAAGGTCCGCGGATGAAAGCTACTGTTTAAGGACTTAATTGGGCGACCAGCGACCTCGATGGCATCATATGGTCTGGTTTTTATCTGCGGTTTTTCATTTCACTCTTCGCTCGAGATATGCAGCTTTGTGGTACAAGGCAGACTAGTGGTACTTAATGTACACAAGTGGAAAAATACAAACATTGAATGATTGACTAATGGAAACGTAAGTTCACTTTTCAATTTCATATTTAAAAAGTGCTTTAACTTGTATTCTAATTTGGGACGTGCCAAACTATTTAACCACCTTATTATAGCCTATTACATATTCAACATTATAAATTACACTGGAGTCAACACCGAACTATGGAATTGACAAGTACCTGTCGATTGTATGTTTGCACAAACACATTGACTAACTCAAACTCTACAAACTAACTTTTAAAAGCGGCTGGAGCATCATTATTATAATTTACGTTACCCTGTAGCTAGCAAGTTAAACCCAAAGTTCAAGAGTTAGGTGCATTCAACATCAGCAGACGTTAATTTGCAAAAATTAAAATTTCCAAAAGCTTCCAAAAAGTAGATCACACGAGTGTAAATATAAGAAAGTCTCTGAATGACTGGTGAACTTTTACACGGTAGCGGAAATGGCGAGTTACAGTTAAACATTAACATCTCAATGCGACGCCTCATTTGCGAAGGCGGCGGACGCCATTTAAAACACAACTTTCAAATACGTGAAAAGAGGTGATTTTCTTTAACAACAACTGGTAACAGTACTTTTAATCATTACGTAACTTGTTGGAGGGGAATTACCTCCGATAAACTGAGTTTGTAAAGCGTATGGAATTAATAGAATGTACAGTAAAAGGTGTTAGGGGCTCCAACCCACCCGGTCCCTGCATTATCATATAGCAATTATTGTTTCAAGATGATTGGTAATGTCCTCAAAGTGATTCCAGAGTTAACATTGTAGCAGCCGCTGTGAATAACCTGCTGTATTTACATGTCAGTGGCGTTGACGTCCCTATCATAAGGTTTTATCTCCCCGCCGAATAAAAGCAAAAAAGCGACGTGCATTCGATTTTTAGTTGTATTAACATTTTTAGTAAAAACTCCGGAAGTATCGTGATTTATAAAATTTTCTTGTGCCGTCCTGAAGCATATGACATGCTATATTTGTATCCCTGAACTGTTAAATGGGGGCCACCTAGTGTTTTTCGTTCTAAAAAACATTTCCAGGGGTAGATTTCGAGATTTCCAGTCATTCTTAACACATTAATCTACACAAATATTTGTTTACCCTTAAATAATTTGTTCTACAGATATTTTTTTTTTCATCCTAGACATATATTCTTATATTTTCTATATTAATTTCTTATATTTTAAGTAACAAAGTAACGCAATCAAATTGTCAAAACTTAACGTTGGGATAATTTGATAGTTTTCCTCTTCCACACGATCAGCGTTCGGAGAACAATGGCTGCCGGATGTTCGGATATGGACACAGGTTGTGATGGATAGAGGCCATGTTTGACTCATCCGTCACACGGCATTGCGACCTGGCCGTCACCATCGATACGACCATATACCATCATATACATGTAGTAGACGCAGCATGGAGGCATGTGGGTTACTACAGTAGTGTATTTCCTGTGTCGGTTCACACATGTGTGTGGGATTCTACGTGAACCGCGTTCTCACTCTCATTGTACAAACTGACCGTGAGAATTGATAAAAAATATTTATAGGAAATGAATTTCCGTATAAAATTCCAACAATTGTCCTCGCTGATCGCCGGGAATTCCAAACTACGCGATAAAACCGGGAAATATGGCTACCTCACTTTCTAATATCTATTCTTGTTCACATATTACTGCAGCTAAATCTTGGAGTCAATTAGATAGTCTGACAGAGGTGACTTTTAAGTGCACTGATGAGAGAAACAACACAAAATTTTAACTGCTTGTTTTTATTAAAAAGGGTTCTGAAGTTCAGAAAACCGGATGCAATCTTAAGCATCTGGTATAAGAGGACCAAAGGCGGGTGCGGTTTAGCACCCAATAAAGTTCAGTGAAACAGAGACATGCAAATTGAGGTTGGTTAAAGTTAGAGCGTTCGATGATTCGGAATTTTAAAGCCAACATACAGTTGGCGGACCACTGGCTGGAGCAGCTGGTTATTGCTTGTCGAGTTTTACAACCAATAAACTAGGAACAGAAACGTAGCTCGGGATGTAGACCTTCGATCACGGTAGATCAGAGCATCGGTCCGTCGATTAAACTGTCCAGGAGAGCAGCAGCAGATAGATCCAGCAAAGAGAGTGGATCACGACCGATAGTGATAAACAGCTCAAGACGCTAAATAAGCTGGTTTATGCATTCGATAACTCCAGGCGCAATTTGAACTGCCTTAAAAAAAGAAACCCCTTTAAATGCGTAAAAAAAATATTTATAATACTACTATTATTTAGGTGGTAAATTCTTCAAATTAGGTCAACATTTTAGGTAGACAATCGAGTCTCTGATTTTGTTTTGTTTTTAGTTAGGCCTATATTAAGTAATATATTTCTTGATTAAATTTTATTTGCATGTAAGGGAATAACATACTTTACTGACAGTTCTTTACAATTTTACTTTGCTTCGTTTGATAAGGGGAAAAATATACGGCACTGGTAGTGCCCGATCATTCATTAATGACCTACTGTATAGTCTACCGGTACCGTACTGTAAATGAATTGATTCTTAAATTTAATAAAAAAAATAAACTCAAAGTAAAACTTTATTATACGATATTTTATAATTTGTTTTCACTTCCGAAAGAAATTTCAGCACACTAATACTCTATTTACCACTATTCACCACAATAATATTTCACACTAACAGTCAAAACAACTACAACTTTAAGGTTACATATGTGAAATATTTTAGGAATCAGCAAAAATAACAATATACTTGCCTATGTAGCAGCTACAATAATAGAAGTCATCCTTTAGTACATCTTAATTTCGCATTTTAACATTGGTTACAGGAGGGATTTAATTAATTGAAAATAACGGAATAGAAGGTCCGTGATGTATTATCAAACGTCAATAACCTGGTTTGTAAATTATATCAATACGTATCGTACTTTCTATAACTTAATCGAGACAAGTAAAAATATTACTTAAACAAATGTGTATTTTTCAGAGATTTTTTTTACTAAATGTGAGTTGCATAGCTTACGGTACTTTATGACAACAACATTTGAAAATGCTAAATAAATTAAAAATAACCTCATGCCGAATGCCGTATGATACCTGACAATTTAGTCTGAAGAGGCACCTTTTACCCTGACATTACAATTCCCTCGTGACATGTTAGACCTCTGGACTCTCCAAGGACTGGGACAAAGCGAAGGTCGTTGAAGCCTTCCGACGACACGTTGTAGGGTATGCGAGTTATTTAGAAAATTAATTTAGTATTCCTGCTTTAAATCCGGATTAATGATATTAGGATCATAACGCCTATCCTAAAAATCCAGCTCTGATAGCCTACTTTGAACGGTCCAGAGTATTTTTTTCTTAACGGTATTACAATTTTTTTTACATTGGAAGATTGTTTGTTGTCTTTCCTCAAATTAATTATGTGGCGCTCTTAACAACAACTGCTTTCTTTTTTAGGCCTACTAAATTACCGATATTGATTTATTTTGACGAGACACTTCAAATCGTCCGACAAGGCTTTTAAGTTAAAATGATTCAATAACTAGGCCTACCTAACCTACACTATATTGGTTACATATTTAAATATACTAATTAGTTGCAATTACAAATAAATAGGCTAGGTCTACTTATAAGTTAGACATTTTATTTGGTATTAAACAGTATTTTCATAGTTTAAATTGAACAAATCAATATTTTCTCCATAGCTAGCTAGACTACTAAAAATATTATTTATTTATGTATTCCCAACGGACATCTTTATTTTAATATGTTGCTCACATCGCGTAGTAGCCTAATTGGCTACAATATTATGTAGGTAGGTTTATAATGTAGGCCCAGAATTGGGACACCAAATAACATGAGAGAACATTATCCATTCAAATGCATTTTTTCTGAGTTTTACGTTCAGAAGAAGTGTGATTTTCATGCTACCTACCTACTGTATCTTAATAATTGAGAGATCGATTTTATGCAAATATAGCTGGGCGCTGCTGAACTCACGCTATGCCAGAGAGGGGTTCTAAAACACAAACAGGGGAGAGCTAGGCTTGGCTAGACAGGGCGTAAGGGACTGACGCCTTTTAGCTCAAGGACAGAGGCACAAAATTGAGCTCAACTGGATAGGCCACATATTTGTGCGACGCAGGCTGCCTAGTGCCTAGTGCCTGGCTTTGTTAGGTTAGGAACTGACCGAGACTAAAGTGTGAAATCCGTCAGGCTGGTGCGATGGCTACTTTCTAAAGACCAGGGCCATTGTCCGCACTAATCAAAATAACAGAGGTTTCATCGTTAAAATAACACTTTACGATAACCAATTAAACTGCAGGTAACTTATATGGCATCAAATAATACGAATATTTATTTTGAAATAGTTTTTACACCATGTAATGAATACACTAACATAACCTCAACGCGTGTATTTATAGCGACACCAATCTCGCAATCATCTTTTTGGGCCAGGTTTTACGTTATTTCAAGACTGTTAGTTATATGTTACACTAAAAGACAACATGTACACTTAGATGAGAATATATTGCAATTAAAAACAAATAAGTTACTCGCCCTTAACAATATTGAGCGAGCTGCAAAATCGAGTTTTGCAAAAGCGGGATTCAAAACAACAACTTACCTGGTAATAAACTCCTTGAGGAGGGAAGATAAATGCCCCTGAGCTCCACATGCAGCCGGCTTATATCACAAGACACATACACTACCTATAAGTCCAGGAGGGATTTGAGAATCCCGCACAAAACCACGATAACCTACAATAAAACTAACATGGACGCTTGGTCTAATCTAGCAACAGCAACAGCAGCCAACAAGCGATCAATGGCAGGCATCTGCAGACGGCGCTTCCCCCACTCCGGCGCTACCAACCTCAACATATGAGACTGCGCCTCGACGCGTCGCATTGTGACCAACTGTCGCCGGTAACAACTAAATACTTCACCAAGACTTTCTGTAAAAGTATAGGCCTAGTCTAACGGTTTGAAGGCGATGTGAACCACTGTTAAACCAGCCCGTAAAATCTACATACAGTCCCACGGAATGTTTTAAGTGTTCCATTCATTAAAATCACTTGTCGTAAAATGCTCCAGGAAAATTATTTGCCAGATGATAATTATAGTATATTTCGTACCTACGGCCGAAAGTGAGATTTTGCCGGTTCGAGATCGGTTAAAAAACCATTTCAGCCCGTGGTACGAACGAAATTTTTCACCGCACTAATACTCTATTTACCACTATTCACCACAATAATATTTCACACTAACAGTCAAACAACTACAACTTTAAGGTTATCTATGTGAAATATTTTAGGAATCAGCAAAAATAACAATATACTTGCCTATGTAGCAGCGACAATAATAGAAATCTATTAATTGCAATGCATATGTATCCTGCTTGTGTATTTAATATACATTAATGTTTTAAGGAAAAAAGGATACAACTGGTTTTCGGCCCTAGGGATGTAAAAACCTGCTCGGTCCCCAAATGACAATGGCAGCTGGTAAACAGCAATGCATAGCTTTCGGCCTCCAATTAACGTTCGTAAAACGACTAAAAACGTCGTAGTGTGGTGAAATAGTATATTTCGTACCTAGGGCCGAAAATGAGGTTTTGCCGGCTCGAGACAGTTTTTAAGTTCGAGACGAAGTCGAGAACTTAAATCGATCGAGAGCTACAAAACCATTTCGGTCCGTGGTACGAACGCTATTTTTCACCACACTATACCCTATTACCACTATTCACCACTATAATAATGCACACTGATAGTCAACACAACTACAACTTTAAGGTTCTTGAAGAAATAATTTGAGGAATCAGCAAAAATAAAAATAAATAGTTGCTAGGCAACGGTGGCAATAACAAAATTCTATTGCAAATCTATGGATACTGATTGTGTATTTAATATGCATCAATGTTTTAGGAAAGTAAGCGGACAGCTGATTTTGCGGCCCCGGGCTGTAAAAACCTTCTCGGTTCCCAAATTACGATGACAGCTGGCATGGCCAGCAAAACGTAACTTTTAGCCACCAATTAACGTATGTAATACAGCCAAAAACATCATAGTGTGGTGAAAACAAATGTTTAAAGCATAAAAAATGAACTATCTAGAAAGCATATGCACTGCTGAGTAAATTTTGTGGGGACCACCCAATTTATTCACAAGGCCTGCTGTATCAATTTAATTTATTAAAACAGGGGACTCCACGCTAATTCAACAATTCCCTAATGTAAAAAATCATTGGTTAAAACTTAATTGCTATATAGTATGATTGATTAAATACTAACGCATTTTGAAATTAATAAAGATCACAAATAGTAGTTTTCTAGAAAATTTTACATAGTGAGTGTTATTAATTTCAAATGTATGGTCAAATACTATTTAAAATAATTACTTATGGAGAATTCCTTGACCAATGCCCTACCCAAACCCAGATAAATTTACCATACAGTTTACGAATACTTTTTACTTGAACTTTGTCCGCTTGGCACTTGACACGTCGAAGTAACTTGTAGGCCTGACTAGAGATAAGTTGTAGAGTTCAGTGGTAAACAAGTGACAAACGATGATACGACTACAAGCCTTGGCATTTGTAGAGCCATCCTCCCACCCCACCTCACCCTCTACAACGATATCTATTATTTGTGGGGCTACTCCAATAACAAGGTCGAGGCGTTTGATTGAAACCGTTCCTCTCATCTACCGTTCTATCGAGGGCGACGGGCGACGAACACTTGGAATTACAAATAACTGAACAACATTGTCACGTTACTTTGTAGAATAGTAATTCAAACACAAAGGGAAAAAATAGTTTTCTCACTTAGATTCCTCGAAAGGTACAAGCACACGTTGACTTATAACTAATGTTATTGTCAGCTACTAATTATTTCAAAGGTACAAGAAAACAAATAATTTCCATTATTAGGTGGAGTAATGCACATTCTACACCTATAATTATGTAACTGGAAAATATCTTATCAAAATAATATATCAGTGATGGAACAGTTTGTATTTGAGTGAAAGGTTTAATCGCTGGATTATTGATCAGCGTAGATTCGTTCATAAGTTAATTTACCACACATTTAATACAAATACCACATTTCTATGTAAATCTAATAAACCTAGCTATATCTAACATGGAATAACATTCAATTGGTTTTTACCAGAGAGTACTGTATTTATATAATAACTAGTGTAGGGTACCTGTTGCTGGAATTCGAGCAATTGCTAAGTATTACAGGCGTAATTTTATAACGAATAACATTCATAATGTCTGATGACTTTTAAGATTCGACTCAAATATTATGGAAATACTCAAGATGTACATAAAAGATTGATATAATCAACATTTCTTGTAAATATCGTATCATTTTTCAAAATCTGATCTAGTTTTTTAGTGTTTTCAACAAATAGCCTTACTCATAGCCGCAAATTCTAAAAAAAACATGATTTATATTTCTTCTCCTTGGTGGTGTTCTATGACTTTCCTATGTTTCCATAGTTTGCAAATCGGCTCTTTCAATGATTACTAAGAAATGCAGCACAGTGTTAATTCAGTTCTCTTTTTAGTATATCAAATTATCCAGACTCTCTCGCTTTTTTCCATTGTAATATTACGCCAACCCAAATTCAAATAGTAAATATTTCTTTTCAACCAAGTCAGTATATGTTTGTAGCAAACTGTCAAATTAACAAACTTATTCACTGTTTACAATTAACATTATGTTCTTCTTCTCACTTTTAATTTTAGACAACAGCTTGAGTTTCAAAACAATGTTTGGTTTCCATGTTAATGTTATGGAGAAATACGAAACTATAAAGAGCCCCAGGGCCTCACTCTCTAATTATTTCCCTAAAAAGAAAGTTTCCTGCACAACTTCACGTTATGCTCTTTCCAATGACACCAAAAACGTGTCTATCGGTTCAGTAGTTTCGAAAGAGTAATTGTCACAAAAAACCTGCTTGCGTATTAAAAAAGTATATACAGGGTTAGGCAAAAGTATGGAACCCCCCAGTTTACTTTTTAAAGCGTTGCAGTAGGAAAACCAAACATGACACATATTTACAACATAAGATATTGCACTTTTTCATCAAAGTTACAACATTGCCCCAGCCCCCAAAATGTGATATTTTGGGGACGGCCCCAGATTTTCAAAAGTAAACACCTATCATGTGACCCCTCATTTTAAAGGGTTTGTCAAGACAAATTAAATGGCACTAACTAGAGGTCAATATTGCACCCCTAATCAAAATGGCAGTCATTTTGAAATATCCTCTATTAACTTTTGAACAGGTTATAGCAGGAAAACTACAGTCAGCAACCTTTAAAAAAAAATCTTCTTTAGGACAGTATTAAAATATTAAATTTTTTTAAGTTAACTGAGGGTGTCCAGACTTTATCTTGCTTGCTAATCTTAAATAATTAAACTGTCTGCCATTTTGATTAGGGGTACAATATTGACCTCTGGTTTGCACCATTCAATTTCTTTTGATAATCCCTTTAAAATGAGGGGTCACATGATAGGTTTTTACATTTGAAAATTTGGGGCTGCCCCAAAATATCCCATTTTAGGGGCCGGGGAAAAGTTGTAACTTTAATGAAAAAGTGCTATTTCTTATGTTGTAAATATGTGCCGCGTTTGGTTTTCCTACTGCAACGCTTTAAGAAGTTAACTGGGGGGTTCCAGACTTTTGCCTAACCCTGTATATATACATATACAGGGTGTCCGGTCATAAGTGTTAAATAAAATTTTGCATTAAACTACATGGTAATGGTGACAGAATGTCGCAAATTTGAGGTCCCCAACTTCAACAGTTAGAGAATAACAAATAAATTAAGATTTTTCAAAAATTATTGTAGTTGTTATGAAAAAGGTTATTTTACTCTGTTAAAAATGCACTTACTGTCAGTTTCAATGTCATTTTCAGAATCCTCACAAAATTTTAAATAAATATAACACATAATCGTTGGGGTACGTAAAAATATTCTATTTAAAATTCTTCGTTAAACAAATTATTTTTATATCGACGAAAATGTAAATAACATTCAGCAGTTTATTTCTCGGTTGTTGAGTTCCGGAGAGGTTATCAAATATGACTAGAAACTTCCTTATTTAAAGGGCTTTACAATGATGTATAACAACATTTACCTACTTTCAAATCCATGGTGAATTTTACGCACTATTGTGAAAAATCACGGTCAAGCCAAAACAGATATTGTAAAAAATAATAAAATTTTACTTACTATTTTATGAGCTGACCACTGATGATGAGGGTATGTATAATTTATGATTGACCAGACTACACTTCCATCAAACTAAAGAGTTTTTTTTAAGACTTTGGAAAATTTGTAATTAAAAAACACAACACATTAGTAAAAAACATAATACACACTACAATTTAAATATGAAATGATAGTTAACCCATTAAACAAATCAATGACACACTTTGTCCGAAGCACAAATCACAGTTTGGGTGTAAAGTGCCCACCGTTTTCCCGCAAGCAGGCCCTAGCTCTTTTGCGGATTGCGCCAACTGTGACCTCGTACGTCAATTTTTCCCTTACTTTCCCAGCAGCCTCAAAGATTCTCTCCCGTAACTCAACTTCAGAGTTTACAACAGTTGAGTAAACTAGACTTTTCATGTAACCCCAAACAAAAAAATCTAACGGGCTCAAGTCTGGAGATCGAGGAGGCCATGTCACACTTCCTCCACGTCCAATCCATGTCGGGTAGTTTTGGGATAGCCACAACCGAACGCTTTCAGTAAAATGTGGTGGAGCACCATCCTGCTGAAATATGATTTCAGCTCTTTGTTGAGGATCAATTTCATCCAACAACTGAGGTAGAGAGTGCT